GCTCCGCGGGTTAATTCCGGGGGAATGCGTCACTGGGCCCAAAGCGGGTCAGTGTGGGAGCCGCTGCTACCGCTCGACCCTCACACATAATTTCATTATCGGGGGATGAGTCCGTTTTTGCAGTCAGCAAACGAGAATCACAGGGGATGTAGAGGTCGTAATGGCGCAACGATCACGCTTTTTTTTCCCTCCTCCCTCACAAAAGCAGAAGCTGGGATCTAACCCACTTTATCTAGCGCAAACTCCCCAACACTGCATCCGCAGCTTCTCTCTGGCTTCTGATGACAGACAGACAGACAGACAAAGGCAGAGAGAGGCAGACAGTGAGAGAGTGAGACAAGCAAACAAAGAGACATATAAAGAGGGAAGGTACTAGAGAGTCAGGGAGCAAGACAGCACTTCTTTACAAACTGGAAGTATGAAAGAAAAAAGAAAAAAATTCTCTGAAAAAAATCATATTATTCTGTCAAAGTTTCATTTGGCAAACTCTGTGCGCAATGAGCCAAAGTAAAAAGCAGGGGGAGGAATTTTAGCAACGGTGCCAAGCTGTCCACCTACTTCTTCCCTCTCTGCCCTTTCATCTGCTCTCTCATCTGCTGAGGTATCTTTCACTGGGGCAAAATTCAAGCACTGTTCTCTAATTTCTGAAATCTGTTCTCTGCCTTTCTCGTCCCTCCTCAACTCTGCCCCCCCTCCCGACCAGTCCTCTCTCATTGCGGATGGCTTTGCTTTGACAAGGATGGCGCTCGTGTTTGTAACTCCTTCGAGCAACCTACAACTCAGTCATGCAGCATCCTGTCCGCTGACGCCCACCGGGGCCTACGCTCAGTGACTGTCGAAGGCAGATGCGTGCATTCGGATGCGGTCTGTTGTTTCCTGTGGGTGCTGTTGTTCGCGTGACCTCACTTTATTCGCTTTGGTGCCTTTCCTTTATCCATAACAGCTGCCGAGTGATCAAATGTAATGTAACGGTCGACACAAGATTACAAGCCAAGGGTGACAACTACTTACGTTTTCCATAAAAGCTTATTAGTGGTCCTTTATTGGACGATAGACCATTTCCAGCTGAATCGAACCCAGAAGTTGTGCTTTTTGTCCTGTTTTGTCCTGTCCCTAACAATGAGGCAGTTGTGTCAGTCAGAATCGTACGTGCAACACAGCGGTGTTCTTCACATCTGCTAGCGGAGCGGTCGTGTGAATGGGCAGCTACAGAGAATAACGACCTGCCACGCTTCCAGCTGAGCTCTGTGCTAATTAGATTTGATTGAACTGTTAAATGAAAACCAGCAAAGATGTGTTTTTATAAGTGCCTGGAAGATGATTTCGTACATATCTGCCCTTTGAGCAAATTTCATGACGCCGACTCAATTAAGTTCAATTACTTGTTATAGACCTCCTTTGATGAAGTAATTGGTCCTCCTAAAGGTGGTTGAATACCTGTCTGTATTATTACTTTGCTTGAGGGGCTCAGATGAAGTGAAATTACTCTTTTTGTTACAGCAAATACGTTTTCAACAGCACTTAACAGTTACAAAGAACGAACAGTCCAGTACTTGTCAAGAGATGTGAAATATGAATGAGGATCTAAGTAACAGCTCAAAAAAACATTCATGATGTGTATATATTCACAATCATGTATCTCATGAGGTGACTGACACTGTTTTTTCAGATTAAAGTGTAAGCTGGAAGCACATGTTTTTAAAAAAGGCATCAGTGCGTGCCGCAGGCAGTTTACATGGTTATACCTTCACTTCCTCCATTCAGTTTATACTCTCGAGTCACGTGGAGTTCAAACGTGACAACATTTATTTTAAAACTTGCCGAATTTTCCTCCAGTCTCCGTCTATCTGCTTCTCCGCCATCTCACTTTCTCTCTCTCTCATCCTGAATGAGAAACCCAATACTGAAGTGATTTTGTGCAATGTAATAAAAAAGATCTCCAACTATGTCTCGCTTTCTTTTGAAGGCCCTGATGGCTTGCGTCAACGTGCAAAGGCTTTTAAGGAAATTTGTAAGCCATAATTACATTTCTCAACATTAAAAATGAGTCAGTTTGTCAGTGCTCCGCCCCCCTGGCTGTGTGTTTGTGTTCTTCCCCTGTCCATGTGCTTTTGTTTTTCCTTGTGTTCCAGCCCTGCCCCACTCTCCGCCCACCTGATCATCTCCACCTGCCTGCCTGCACACCTGCTTCCCATCACCTCATCAGCCCTACCCTATATTTACCCTGCTTTTCTGTCTTGTGGCCAGTTCGTCTCAGTATCCTGTTTCGTCCTTGCCTTCTGTTTCTCGGTTTTTCCACGGTCTTCTGTCTCCCGCCCTGGGTCTCTGTGTTTGCCTGCTGTTTTGTCACGTAAGTTCTGTCAGTCTGTTTTCTGTTTCGTCCTGTCTTTGTCTTTCCCTGTCTGTGTTGGTCTTCTCCTGTCTCTGTGGCACCCGCCTGCCTTTCCTCTCCGGCAGCCTGGGCCGCCTGCTGTTCTGCCTCCGCTCCCTGTTGCCGGCCTGCCCGGTTCTGCCCCTGTCCAGACCCTGCTTCCTGCCTGCTCAGCTCCGGTCCAGCCTGCCGTTCTGCTTCGGCTGCCTGGGTTGCCCGTGGTTCTGCCCCGGCTCCCTGTTGCCGGTCTCCCTGGTTCTGCCCCTTTCCAGACTTCACTCCCCGCTTCTCGTCTGCCCTGCTCCGGACCTGCCTGCCCAGTTTGTGACCCCTGCCTGGCCTTTGGATCTCGTCTCTGCCTGCCGCTCTGTTTTGGTTGCCCCGCTGCCTGCCTGCCCGTTGCCGACCCTCGCCTGTCCAGACCACGTGCTTGCTCTCTGTTTGTTTTTGGACTGACTTCCCTGGTTTTGACCCTGCCTGTCTTTTACCCTGTCCTCGTCTGCTCCGGTTTTGGGGTTTTAATAAAGCCACTCTGCCACTCACCTCCGGGTCTGCGTGTGAGTCCTCACCCCGCATCCCTGACAGTTTCCTTTTTTATGTTCTTTTTTGGTCAATCATTTCCAGCCCCCTCTGATTCCAGCCTAAAACGGGAAAGAGTTTGGAAGTAAATGAAACACCCTGGGAAAACACAAGAAGACTAAAACACAAGCAAAGGAGAGCTGGCAGAAAAACTTCAGCTCAACAGAGAAGTCAGCTGATACAACACAACTCTCACAGAAGTATCTGTGTCGTGTGGTCAGTAAATCGCTGAGATGTCATTACTACCACGACCAAAGACCGCTCACTGTGCACGGCTTTACTTCCATTGTTAGCATGCAACAAACTGTATCAATTTTACCAGTTTATACAGAGAGAGAGAACTCAGATGACTCATCTGGCTTCTGAAAGAGTCAGAGATATTTATTCACCCTCACATGTGCTTTGAGTTCTAGTGTCATCCACCAGCTTGTTAACATTTCGTGCAACAGGTAGTACTGCTACAGCTACCATGGCTACTGACATTACTTATAATTATTATGTTACTCTGACAATCTTCTATAATTATCCATTTAAATGTACAATAATAATGAAAATGTGAATAATAATAACAGGAACAGGAGAAACAAAATCAGGAAAATCAGCGACATTAATCTCCATGACAACGAAACATCTGATCACAGTGACCCAGAACACGTTGGATCCTGCACAGTTTGTACCAATTTCCGAACTAGCAACTCGCGCTGGCGAACTTTTGGAAACTTCGCCAAATCAGGTCATCTCCGATCGAGCTCAGCGGGGTCTCAGCTGTCATCTCCCCTTCTTCCGACCTGCTGCTTTAACATACACACGTGTGAACACATCCACACGTTCCAAGCGCTGCCCCGCTGACCTCTTGGAACAATCATTAGACATTGTGGAAATCAGGTTCATCCCAGCCAGTGAGAGCGCCCGGGTTTGCTCACTGAGAACAGTCAGCAAATGAATTACTGTGACAAAAACTCAGGTGCCTGGCAGGGGCGCAGTCATGCCAGTACCAGGTTCTTGACCTGCGTTTTCTGGGCTCTGAAATGAGTAGTAGCCTGGATATTGGCTCAGTGGAAAAACATGCATTCAGTACACATGCATGGTGAGTTACTCACATGTTTACAGGGTGGCAGTGTAGCACAGTGGTTGCCTGTTCGATTCCCCACTGGGGCACTGCTGCTGTACCCATGGGCAAGGTATTTAACCCACAATTGCCTCAGTAATTAAAAATTACAATAAAAACTGTAAAAAAAAAACTGTAACCGATGCAAGTAGCTCTTGATAAGATGTCTGCTAAATGCCAATAATGTAATGTAATGCTAAAACACTTTGAACTTTGAACATGCTGCTCATTAAGCACCTACATAATTACTCTCTATTAGTCAGTAGAAACACTGCCCAAGAATAGGTCACCCATTGCAGTTATTAATATCAAAAAGAAGATGAGTTTCACTTAACAATTTGGGCCACATGACCTCACACACTACGCAATGACTATTTGTTAGCAAACCTACTTTCCTAAATTCTTAACTGTATCTTGGTACTGTATGTTGGTCATGTGTTTTTTTTTTCCATCTGTTCATCTGAAAATAATGAGATCTTTCAAGCTCTGCATCACATCAGTGAAATAGAAACACTAAGCCAGTATTGATAGCAGCAACATAATTACTCTGTGCAGTTACCATGAAAAAAAACAGGTGTAAAGGAAACCACACAAAGTGTATTTTTTTTGCTTTGCATTAATGTCATACAAATAAATCCTACAATAATTAAATGTAATAAACCATGAAAACAAATCCTTGCTCTCATTTCGGCAGGGTTCTTTTCCCTAACAATAGCATTACTATTTATGTACTCTCTATGCCTAACTGCCTTGCCTTTACTTTAGATTTGTAAAACGTGTTAAATTGCACATCCACAGCTTTATTGCATATGAATCCTTTGTTAAGTTAGTAAAAGAGAATAAACTGCATCTGCTCCCGTGCTGAAGGGCTAACTAAGAGTCTGAGTGATAATGCCGACAAAGACATCAAAGAGGCTTTTCCAATTGGCAATTAACATGGGCGGCAGAGTGGCATAGTGGTAGGGAGCAGGGTTCATAACCAAAAGGTTTCGGGGTCAATTCCCCACTGAGGCACTGCGGATATACCCCTGGGCAAGGTACTTAACCCAGAATTGCCTCAATAAATAACCAGCTGTATAAATGGGTAACATGTAAAATTATAAGCTATGTATGTCATTCTGGATAAGAGCATCTGCTAAATGACAACAACGTAATGTAATGTGGAATTGTGGAAGGAACATCTGTAAATTGCCACTGACTGAATCCAAATGAACATATCTGCAGTGTGGATCGTGCACCAATCACCCCATCTCAGGCCTTAAACCGCAAGGAATTAAACTCTCAGGCCAAGACACGTTTTTTTTTTTTTTTTTTTTTCCAACACGAGGTTAGCTGGCTGCCTGGGAGTAATGAGGGGATGGGTTGCATAGTCAGAGATCCCCGTTCGTGTTGCTTTCTGCCCATTTTAAAACACACAGTGCAGGACGCTGAGTCAGATCGACACCAGACACCTTGTTAAAGAGCTGTTTCAGAATCCAAGGAACCAGGCTGGACAAACACAAACTCATCTTGGTCCAGACAGTGCGTCTGATCATTCTGACCCTGGTAGCAGAGCACTCCAACCGGCCTGTTATTGTACATTACCTTAGCTAACCCACTGGTCTGCTTTTGGCTTGTTCCTCTCAAAGAAGATAACCTACAAAAATATACTCTTAAAAACAGCAGAGCAGTTTTGTGGACCAGCAGTTAGAACTCCATGAACTGGCTGGATCAGAAATTGCTGGGCTTTGAATCCCAGGTCTGGGTCAGATTATTTTTTTATTCATGAGTAAGATCCACTGGTCTTGGGAGTGAGCAATAAGACGCAATGAGTCCATGCCACAGTTAAGAGGTAAGGATGTGTGTGTAAATAAAACAGGGTCCCTTTTTTACATGTGCATGCATCACGTATGGGGAAGCTCTTTGTTATGGTGATGCCGATTACTCACCTGATTAATAAAATAAAAACAATGACCAGTGGTTCCCTTGGTAACAGGCAGCACCGTAGGTGACCGCCTTCATGACCTCTGTCTGGGGTCGCCCTGCAACAAACATCTGTGTAAGATATGAATAGGATATGCGGCATGATACATCAATGCGATGTTTTGTGAGCTTCCCCGAAAAAGGTGGTCTTCCCACAACAAAGATATAATCAAAAAGAATCTTTCTGCCCCTCAGAAGGTCAATCCTCACATACAGGAATATTACCCTGCATTATCACATACAGTGATACTACCCTCTGTCATTACATACTGCCATATTATCTAGCATTTTCATATACTGCAATATTAGTCTGCATCATCACATACAGAAATATTAGCCTATATTATCATATGTCAGCGATATTACTCTGCATCTAGGGCTGGGTTTCACATGAGGAGGTAGCACGGACAAAGGGAGAACAGCTTGTATGTATTGCTGAAGATATCATACATAGGACAGCATGTGTGTGCTAATACTCTGTTAGCCCATTTGTCCGTTGAACAGGTTTTGAACCTGTCTATTTTTCTCTCTCAACCTCCCTCACAAGTGCATCGTAACCAGGCCTCCAAAGACAGCACACGTGCCTACTTCATGTGCACATGCATTTAAGGGGATGGGGGTGGGGGGGGGCTATATGAAAGGAGGGTGGGGGGGGACGTAGCAGTGGGAGACTGGGAGAGAAAGGTAGTGAGGGAAAGAGAGAGAGACAGAGAGACTGGGAGAGAAAGGGAAAGAGAGAGAGAAACAGAGGAGAACAGAAGAGAAAGAGCGAGGTGGAAAGAGTGAAGGAGACTGGGAGAGAGGGAGAGAGGGAAAGAGGCAGAGAGAGGGGGAGACTGGGAAAGAAAAGAGAGTGAGGGAAAGAGAGAGGGAGAGTGGGAGAGAAAGGGGGTGAGAGAAAGAGAGAGGGAGAGAGAGAGAGAGAGAGAGAGAGACTGGCACCTCTGACCCTTGCAGAATGCAGCCTTGCAGAATGAGCTGGCTGGATTCTGCTCCTCTCTCCCGCACAGTGCATTCACCCGGCACATCCAGCAGGTGCCCAGACCCAGCTGAGCAAATGAAGCGTACACTGCAGCGTACACAATCACCCCTGTGAAAGCACCTCTGCCGAACATCAAACAAACAGCAACCTTCTCACCTGCAACTGGAGCACAAGCCCACTCCTTATGACACGGTCTGGCTGCGCTCACAGTTCCCTCCTTCACCCCAGCCCCCTCACCTGCCGCTCACCAACCCCTACGGAACAACCTGGTTATGTTCCAAATTCCCTCCTCCACCCCAACCCTCTGACGTGGAGCTGAAATTCACGCCCACCTCTACAGAACAGCCTGACTGTGCTCCCAAATCCCTCCACTGCCCCAGCACTCACACCTGGAGCTGAAATTCAGGCCCATCCGTACAAAACAGCCTGACTGTCCTCTCAAATCCCTCCCCGCCCCAACACTCACACCTGGAGCTGAAATTTACACCCACCTCTACAGAACAGCCTGGCTGTGCTGCCAAATCCCTCCCCCACCCCAACACTCTCACCTGGAGCTGAAAATCACACCACCCCCCTATGGAACACCCTCCCGATTCCTTCCTCCACTGCCAACCTGCGGTTTGGCTGCATCCAACAGGGGAGTGTCAAGACCTCGACCTCCTGCTCTAACTGTGAGGCCGCAGTGTGGCATAGTGGCAAGGAGCAAGACTTGTAAGCAGAGGGTTGTTGGTTCAATTCCCCACCAGGGCACTGCTGTTATACCCTTGGGTAAGATAATTAACCCAGAATTGCAGTAAGGAAAGATCCAGCTGCATAAATGCGTAATGTTTAATTAAGCTTGCATAAGTCACCCTGGATGAGTGCCTGCTAAATGTCGACAATGTAATGTAACTCACTGAAAGGTCAAAGGTCAAAGGTCAAGGCTAGATGATACATTGCGTTTGCATGTTTCATAAGACTGCACATTGAGGTTGTGTTTTCTGGATTCCCAAGACTGAGCTGCTTACAAGTCTCTCAAAACACTGCTGTGTCACAAATCACTTCAGCTGTTTTGGAAATGGGGGGAGTTTCCTTCAGGGTGCACTGCAATTATCAGTCTTTACACCAGAGAACAAAATCATTTGGCAACATGATGTCTGTCTGTAGAGATGACATTGAGTACCCTGCTTGTTTAACATATTAAGAAGAGAAATTTTGAGAGATTTTTCTTATTATTATACAATTCTTAACCTTTTTTTTGTAACTGTAAAGAAATGATTTTTTTTCAAGTCAATGTTATTTTTGCATTTGCCATTACTGGATTTTATCATCTTGAAAGCTTTGTGTTCATCACGCTTCTAATCAAGGATTTCAGTCAGGCTGGACACTGAGAGGTTTTCAGGGGTAATTGTTTCTGTCGGAGTTACACCGAGCGGTTTGCAAACTCTATTAATAACAGCTCAAATTGAGAGAGAGGCTCACGCAAGGAGGCTCTTAGGCACTAATTCTCTTAAGGAGTTGCTGCAAGAAACTATTTTTACCAAAGATCTGTGGCTGTGAAATTTTGCTGTCATTTTGTCAAGGTCAATTTTTAACAAAATAGCGAGTAAACAAGTAGAATTAAACATGGCAAATCAAAATTTTACAATTATACAACAAAGAAAATGCTGTTCTTGTGTTTCTTCCTTATTTTATCTTACTTATCTTTCTTTGTTACAGTATCTTTGAAAACGCTGATAATTAATATACCTTCTTCCATAAGATATTTATTCCGCTGATGTTACAGTGTAAGCTTGTGCAGTGGTTTTACCTCATTGCACGACCTTCCAAACATCTCTCAGCATCACGATGGTGTCAGAACATCATGGCTCAGGAGAAGAATGTTTTGGGTAGGTCAGCGCCCGGGGTCGAGGACGCCTAGAAACATGCCTTTGTGAGTTCCAAATCAGTCTGGGACAGAAAATGCAAACAGACAGATCAAAGCAAGCCAGAGACATGACAGCAACAGGGTGAGTGCAGCAGAGAGGGGGAGAAACTGTAACAGAGTGTGAAAGAGTAACCATGTGGATTTCAGTACAGATGCACGTGACAGACTGACACAGATCACACAGGCTCATTTGAATAGCGAATAGAGGGTGACTAGAGCGAAAGGTGAAACTGGATAAAGGATTAAGTAAATGCATTACAATTGTGAGTTTAAGAGAAAAGGTAGCAGGAGCTGAACAGTGCATAACACCTACAGAAAAAGCAAACAAAGCATAATTAGTGGCATAAGCAGTAAGCAATTAGTAGAGTAATTAGAGTAAGCACATAAAAGAGCAAACATATCATGTTGCATGTTGATTGGTTAACTCACTGACAGGGGGGAGGAGCCCCATGAGGGGAGAAATTTCCACTTTGTATGTGTCTGTAAGACAATGCTAAGGACGCATGCCAAGTGAACCCAGAGCTGAAGCACTTTTCGCTTGAGAGTAGTTGTCAATGTTGAGTCTCATCACTCAGTGGAAGTCCGATTCAGTGGAGGTCCGACTCATTGCTGTGGAAGTGCTTTCAGGAGAGTTACCTCTCTGCCCATGTAAAATCTGCTGAACAAAATGGAACACTGTTGTCAAGGTTTAAAATACTGCCAGGGACTTTGTGCTATTTTCAGTACAAAACAAACACATAGAGACACAGACACAGACAAAAACACTGACACACATACACACACACACACACACACACACACACACAAACACACATGGTCTTTAAGTCCTCATTACTGAAATAATTGAGCTTTTTTTGCAAAAGAGGACAGGAACGGAAAATGGTGGCTGGCCACCAATCGTCTTGCCTCTCTGATCATCCTAAAGCTGCAGCAGTAGGTCACCTCCCTCTCCCTGCACTGCTTACTTCCTCCAGTGACACAGTCAGCACAGGCTGGGACAAAGCCGGGCTCGCGGAACCGGGCAGCGAGTGTGAAGACGATGATGACTCAGCCTTCCTCATTCACAGGAACAAGGCGTGTTTGATGAGCTCCTGGGCCGACCGAGGGCTCCGTGCTGGTTTCTGTTGTCTGAGAGGTCAGCGAGTCGGGGGCCGGGGGGTCTTT